ATCAGATTCCCTCATATCCTCAGTACACGCACATCATGCGCAAGCAAATGTTGCTCATCAGTGCAACAATGTAAGCAACACCCCTAATCAGAAAGGTCTTCTTATAGCTAAAAATCCTCATCAACAGCACTTCTAGTTAACTCTGTCTGTAATCGAGGATATAGTGTCCTTTCTACTGAAAAAGTTGAAGGATGCTCAAAGACTGGAATAGTGGAATCTATCCATCATGGTACACATGCTTAGCAAAAGGCTATTTAATGGGGTTTTCCTCGACACAATCAAGAAAATATACAAAACTAAGGGCATCCTTAATCTCCTCTCCTTAAATGAAGGATTCATTCTATTAAGGTTCTCTTGCAAAAAGTACTATAACTCAGCCTAGCTTAGGGCCTTGGTCTTTCATCCGTAATCATGGGTTATTTGTAAGTTTCTTAAGGATCAACACACCGAAGTCGTTATCCAGCGGCCATCCAAATATAAAAGTTTTGTCTAGTAGAGATGAAACTTTGTTGAATTGCTTCAGTTTTCTCCCTCATCAAATGATCTGCTTAGACGCCATAGGAAAGATAAGGAAGCTCGGGAAAAGGCTCTGCATTTCTTAAAAAAAGTTTCGATGAGTGAAAGTTTTCTTTCAAGCTGAATGAACTCTCTTCTTTGATTCAATGAGGCTTGTGGGTTCAAACCACAGGGGAAGATATACCTTGTGCAGTTACAGCTCTCTACTGCCCTGATGACTCGATCATTCGGGGAAGAGCAGGCTATTGTGAAAAAAGGTGTATGAGCACTACTTGCGTGCTACCAATTCAGGTGCATCTACAATGATTTGATCCGGATCGATCAGCTTAAAGAAGACGATTGGGTCTGAGGGAAACATTAATGACATGCTAATTTTCGTAATAACTGAACTATTTCAGCCGATTGAGACTAATTAAACTCGGATTAATCTAATTGAACTGACTACTTGAGTCAACCTGGGTCAATCCAAATATCAAAAATAGAGTCAACAGTCCTGCAATCCAATATTGAACCCTAGACGTATATTCTATTTCATTAGATTGGTAAATTGCAACAACAACAACAACATCAAGTCTTTGTCCCACTACGTGGGGTCGGTTACATGAATCCTTTTTCTCCAGATTGGTAAATTGAATCAAATAAAATTTAGATCTCACTTCTTTGGGACTGAATATTCTTCTCCCCTCTTCCCTTCTATTTCTCTCAAGAATCATTCTACTCCTCTTTACTCATATCAACATCATTTTATATCATAGCCACATCGTCATCGACGCCCAACTCAGACCTCGTTTGAGAGGGCATTTTTTTGCCATTTCCGTTTAGAGATGACAAAATTATTTTTTGTTAACTGTTTGTATGTGACACTTCTACATAAAAGCTTGTTAGGGGTCTTTATTTGTCTGTTGTTTGGAAAAGCTTTTGATATTTGCTTTCCTATTAGAAAACATCATTTCCTTAACCAACGTTTCTAAAACTATCTTTTATAAAAAGTATCGGATAACCAAATGAAACCTCAATCTATAAATTGATCGTGGTTCCATTCGCCAGCACGCTATTTCCACCATAAGTCATTTTGCCCCGCTACAACAATTTATTTTACTCGAAGAACTAAAAGGAGCCCTTCAGTTTTTTATATTCATCTTCACGCTGCAGGTGAGTTGAAAAACTCACGTAATAAACCTATGGGCTATGAGAATGTGAAAGTTAACCTTACTCTCACTACATGCATTGGTAGCTGTCAGGGTTTGAAAGAAACAAAATCGATATGAAGAACAAAGTTGATACCGATTGTACGTTGTGGAAACAAAGTTGGCATGAAGAACAAGCAAGTAAAAGTAAAATGGTCGCATTGCATATAAAAGTAATCTTCACAACTAAGAAATCTCTGCAAAGAGAAATTACAGGGGTAAAATCTGTATGATATCGCAGTTATTTCAAGAAAAAAAAAAAACCACAATCTTGTTAAAACTTACTTCCAGTAAACTACTACTACTAAGTCCTGCTACTCAGCATGAGAGATTCAGGTCTCTTCTCACCATATTCAGCCGAAGCTCCCTTCAGAAATCTTAAACATTGCAGGAACACACTGATTGTCATCTTACTTGGGTCCATATATCTGTCATTAAGTTACTCTACAACTGATCCAAACCCAGTACCCTATTGCATCCCTCTTCATGAACCTTCTGCGACCTCTAGGGCTGAGATTTTTTGCCCAATAATCGTTGAAAATTGGATTTCATTTTGGTTGGATCAAATTTGAGTTAAATGATATAGAGTTTTATGATAGGAAATACTTTAGTTTTTCGAGTAAACCCTAACAAGATTGATAAAAAACAGCGAGAAAATTGTAATATTCTCCAATGAAAACAATCCAAAAAGTAGATTGTATTATAGGAATCAAACCAAAAGCAAGAACAAGAAAAGATACAATTGATCCTCAATTCAAGAGGACGGTTGTTCTCTCCCAATTTCTAGAAGATGAATCTATAATCCAAGATATCAAGAAGAACCCTCACAAGAACACAATAACATAACATAGCCCAAACCCTAATCTCCCTCCCATACTTAAGGCATACAACTAAAACAAAAATTATTATCATCTATTCGCGATGTCCGCTCTGCTAGGGTTTTTTTTCCTTCTCGGTGATCGTTGTTGTTCGGGTGATCTTCGTCACCTTCTTCGCCTCAAGGAAGTCTTCTCTCTTCTCTAGTTCGATATTCTCGGTTCTGTTTGTGTCAGTTTTTCTTTTTTCGGATTTGATGTCGCCTTCCCGTCTTCGTGACACGGGATTTTTGAATGGTGCCACTTCGGCTCTTTCGTTTAAGGATGCATTGTCTGGGGCTTCTAGTTCTTTAGTCGCTTTTTTCGATTTGAGAATTTCTTCTCACCGAGGTTTGCCGACGTTGTTGATTTCGGAGGATGAAATTAATTCGCTTGCTGCTCCTTTTGAATTCACTTTGGTTGGAAAGTTTCCCGGCATGAGGCCCTCCATTGATGTCATTCGTAATTCTTTTTCAACTTGAAGCTCAATGGTGATTGCTCAGTCATTGTTCTTAGCCCTAGGAATGTTCTGATCAAGCTTGTCAATGATTTCAATTATTGTAGGATCTTTTCACATAGTTCTTACTTTGTGAGTAATTGCTATATGGAAGTTGTAAAATGGATCCCAAATTTGGATGTTGAGGTTGATTTTTCTATTATGCCCATATGGATTTCATTTCCTTACCTTAGGCCCCATCTATTTTCGCCCAGGATTCTCTTTGGCTTGGGTTCTTTGTTCGGGCGAACTTTGAAAACAGATACCGCGACTGCTTCTGCTTCTCGTCCTTCGGTTGCTCGCATCCTTATTGAATTGGATGTCACCAAAAAATATCTGGATAAGGTTTGGGTAGGGTCTCCGAATTCGGGTTATGTTCAGTCAGTAATTTTGGGTGATATTCCTCATTTTTGTGTGCACTGTAGTTCTTTAGGTTATTTGAAAGAGGAATGTCATATTTTACATCCCCATCTTACTGCTGTTAATATTTCCCTTCCTATTCCCTCTTCTGTCCCGTGCGAGTTGCCTGTTAATGCTATTAATGCTCCTCCTGTCATGCCTGTGGAGGGGGCGTCTGTTGGCATTGTTTCCCCTGTCGTTGCTGACTTTGATCAATCCCTATCTCCTGTGGTGCTTTCAGTCGCTCCGTCTGGAGTTGTGAATATTAATACAGCGGTGGTTTCTTCGTTGGATATTGATGAGGTGGAGGTTGGAAGGGTTGGTTGTCTTCAGGTGGTAGCTGTAGATGTTGGATGTGCGGTTAGTCCGGTGCTTCTGGTATCTGAGGGCCCGGCTGGGGGAAACTTTAACATTTTTGGAGATAGTGGGTACTGAGTCTATTGTGGGTGGCTGCTTGGTTAATAATTCCCCTTCTTTTCCCACCTAGGTTACTTCTCCTATTAAGGATGCTAATGAGGAGGAAGAATTATGTTTGGATGCTGTGGTTGGGGAAGTTGGTTTTCCTGCAGTTAATTTGGTTGTGTCGAATAGTGTTGTTGATATTCCTATTTTGATTGCCTCAAAGGAAGATTTGAATACCCATCTAGCGTTATATGTGAGTAAGTCTTGTGTGGATCATTCTGATTGGTTGAATATGTCCGATGGTGAGGTTGATGCGATTGAAGATGAATTTCAATATAATTTTCTGGACAAACGATCGTCTTCTTCTGAGGTTAGAAAGAGATCTAAAAGTAAAGCTAAGAAAAAAAGTTATTTGCTTTCTGTGATTGTTTTGGCTTGGTTTTGATGTTGTTTCGTGGACTATGATGAGGCAATTCTACTTCCCTGTGGTTGCTTGGTGTTTGCGACCTTGGTGGTTAATGTGGTTTCCTCTACGCTCAGAATTTTAGTTGGCTGGTGTGGCTTCCTACAGCCAATGGATGGTCATTCCTTACTACCCGGTGGCTGCATGATTGCCAGACTGAGTCCTTGTTGCTAGGTGAGCTGGACATTTGGATTCTTTTGCTGGTGCTCTGGTTAGATTGGTGATTTGGTTTCCTTTCAAACTGTGATTGCTCCTTTTTGTTGGCTTATGTTTATATGTTTTCTTCTTTTTGGTTGAACGTTGGCTCATAGGTTTTTTTGTTAGCTTGTTCTTTTAGAGAGCTGACTTTTCCTTATGGCTTGTAATTGCTTTTAGTTATCAATTGCCCCTATGTGTATTTTTAAATAAAAAAATACAACTAAAACAAAAAAGACAAAAAATATCAACAACCTTGTTGCCCCCTCCTTTGGCTCCAAAATTGAATTTGAAATCAAGTGGACCCAACCAAATCTCTCTCTCTCTCCCTCTTGCCACCACCCCTCCTCTTGTAAACATGAACTGGCCCCTTTAGAAGGGGCCGGCCGGATTGGTCCACTAGGGGCCGTTCTAAAAGTTTCCAACTCTTCTAAAAGATGCCAAGTCAAAGGATAGCTAGAAGGGAAAGGTAAGCATATGGACTCGTGTGATTAGTAAATATAGCTAGATATATTAGCATAAGTTATGTAAAAAAAAACTATATTGCATGTCAATTTTACCCATGCCAATTGCAAAACTACGGTAACTGACACCAGAATTAAATACTCCCGCTACTTAGAAGATTTCAGTAGGAAAAAAAAAGTTGTAGAATATATCTACATCACTATCTGCCTGAAAGTTAGGTTGATCCGAACAGAACCTGATTTAGCACGCTTTGGCACTGAGTGAATCCAATCTCGCTGTGTATATCCTCTCATCACCAGTAAAGAGCCATGCTTAAGGAGGAACTTGTGCTGGTCTTGGCAAGAGATCTTCAGCCGCTTATGTTTCTGCTCTTCTGAAGCATTACTGGCTAGCAAAGTAGTCAGAGGTAAACAGAAAATGTCAGTTAATTTGTCAGGATGGAACTCCTGCTAGTGCGCATAACTGTAAAAGTGATGAATGAGGAAAACAGTAATTGCAGATCAGTGCGTTCAAAATTTTTCAGCTAGTAGAAAGAGAAATAAATCTTCAGCCAGTTGAGTAAGTGTGCTTTTTCATTGCATTGGTTTACTCGTACCTTCTTTCTTGACTGGTTTCTTCTTCAAAAGAAATTCTCTTTCACATCCAAAAGAAACCGATGCAATTTTTGGAGTGGATCCATACACTTTCTCATCATCAGAATGCCAAGCTACATAGTCTGAGCCGCATTTATATCTATTCAGGAGCAAACTATTGAATCTAGTTCCAGGAAGTGCTTCATGAACCTAAAGTAAATTGATTTGTGTATAATCAACAATAGAGATGAAGAAGCATAGACCAGGGACGTGATAAAAAATGCAAATTTCAATAACTATAATTTATTTGTCTAGTGGATAATGAAATCCTAAATTCGCACTGCTTGCAAGATGTCTCTAAGCACGGGGTATTCATCCCAGGTGTATGCATGTGGCTGATATCCACTATATTTTAAAGCAGTAAGCCCTTCACTGGCAACATAGCATGTGTCTCTTGGCTGCAGACATAGATAAACTTATTTTAGTTAAATGAATTAAGCCGATTATGAAATGATTAGCATAAACAGAAAATCTAACCAAGAGCGGATATACTTGAGCGTGCATATATCAATGCTTAATTTTAGCAAACAAAAAAATCGGGATGTAGGCTTCATAGAATCTATGTTCAGGATTGAAATATTAAAAAGGGAGATTAATATACGTTGCACTCAAAATTATCCTATTTACATATTTAACACAACTATACCATTAATGTAATATACATGCCATTAATTTACTTAATGAAACTCATGACAATGAGGAGAAAGTCGCCGTGGATAAAGCCGGGCCTCCTCCTGCTCCAATAAGCTCGGATGCATCACCAATTAGACTGACAACACCAACTTCATAAATCACTTTGCCCACACAACTCTAGCTACGATGCCGGCTTTGATTTAACACTTGATGACTTTGTTGTTCTTGCTGCCGATGATGACAATGACACCATTCATTGGTCAATGGGAAGCCCCTCCTTGCCCAAAATTTGGCCTTTACTGACAAAGGACGACAAGACCAGCAATGTGTGAAAGAGGAAGTTATGGGATTGTAACGGAGGGTGAGAAGAGTGTTCTTTTTAATGCTAATTAAGTTTTGAGTGTTATGTGAGTATTATTTTAAATCAATTATAAAATTTATGTGTTAAATATGTAAATAGAATAATCTTGAATGCTATGTATGTAAATCCCCTCACCTGCCACCAACCCAACTTCATAAATCACTTCGCCCACACAACTCTAGCTGAGTTGCGGTCTTCAATTTATCCCTCAATGACTCTGCCGCTCTTACCGCCAACGATGACAATGAAAACATTCATTAGTCAATGGGAAACCCCCCATTTGCTGCAAATTTGGCCTTTGCTGGCAAAGGATGACACAACCGACAATGCGTGAAAATATAAGTGATGAGATTGTAATAGAGGGCGAGAAGAGTGCTATTTTTAATGTAATTAAAGTTTCGAGTGTTATGTGAGTGATGTATTAAATAAATAGTAAAATTTATGTGTTAAATATGTAAATAGGATAATCTTGAGTGCTATGTATTTAAATCCACCTCCAAAAGAAAACAAAAAACATGATGCCAAATTAACGGGATTCATTTGTTCAATTTTCATGAGGATAAAGTGGTAATTCAGACAAAATCATGGTAAGAAGATAATTAAAAAAAACACGACCTCCTTCATAACCTTAAATGTTTCTCTAATGCAGCTTCTAGTAGCTTCACTTTTTCAACAATTGAAGGCATATGAGACCGCATATTAAAATTAAATAAAAAATCATAATGGTTCCTTGTTGCATCATACAATCCAATCCACCATTTCTACATTTTTTTGCCACAACCAACTGACTGGTAACCATTAGCTACATAAGATCAAATTCAAGTATCTAAAAACGAGAAGTGGCCAACTCAAAACCATCGAGTTAATCTTGCATCGTTCAGTTGTAGTTTCTACAATTAATCAGCGAATCTTCAAGAAACAGAAACCATCTTAATCAAACACGAGAATTCTCAATGAACAAATAAAGAAGATGCATCCAACAAAACTTTGCATAGCATTCATCATCAATCCCCAAACACCCACAAAACTGAAAGCAGAAGATGCAGAAATACGAAATGTTAAGAAGCGAAGAAACCTGGAGGCAAGACCTTCCAAAGACGTGGATCAATGGCCTTGTCCACGGGATCTCCTTGTCGAGATAGTCAAACCAAGCCCACGCTCGTTCCGCTGACAAGAATTTCGGGACGTAGACAACCTCGCTGCCATCTCCGAGATCGGTAATAGATTGTTTTCCTCTCTTCTCGCAAGAGTTAGCGTCCAGATTAGGGTTAAGATCTGTTGCTTCGAACCCACGAAGCCTGAAACTCATGGCGGGCGTCCGAAAACGGATTTGAGTTTGGTTTACAGTTTTAAAACAGAGTAATTTTAAAGCATCTTTTTCAAAATATGATGCTTGTTTAAATTTAGGATTTTTTTAAAGAAGAAGTAAGTATTTAATTTAAATTAGGAATATTAAGAGAGTATTAAAAAATTAAAAAATAAGCAAACCAGCTAAACAGAATAGTGCATTCAATAGAATGCACAAAACTGTTTGATGTATTAAGAATAAGCCAAATAATTTTGGTGCATTCTATTGAATACTCATTGCTAGACCTGTCAAAAACGGGTCACGGGTCGGGTTCGGGTCCAACCCGAAATTGACCCGATATTGTTCAACCCGACCCGACCCGACCCGTTTTTGCAAACGGGTCGGTTTTCCGAACCGGAACCCGACCCGCTTCGGGTCCGGGTCAACCCGACCCGTTTCGGGTCCGGGTCAACCCGACCCGACCCGCTTCGGGTATATTTAATTAAATTTTTTCATGGCTAACTGAGGAAAAATTATTATGTGCGGAGACCGGATGCAGAACTCCGTCCGGCGACCCATCAGAATGCGCCACGCCAGCAGCACCAAGCCGCGATACCGAGCAAGAGGTGACGTGGGGCATTCTAGCTGGTCTCCGGACGGCTTTCAACGTACACACAGAATAATTAATCCTGCCTGGGGGCATGCGGGATGAATGGACCAAATTAATTGAATGCGCCAATTTACTATGAAATTTATATCTATCAAAATTTTGAGAGATTTATATAAGAAATTTTGTTGAAAGATGTCACTTTTAAGGTTATAATCGTCTTCCAAACGATGTCCTTTCTTCACCTTGGAGTGGTTCTATATTGCAAATCTTCAGATTCTTCACCATGAGCTTTTTCAAATAAATAGATATTAGTGCTGATATTATTTAAGTTATACAAGTTTACATGCAATTATGATTTTAACCTCATTTTAAGATAGTTCAAACAATGTTTATTTTCTTAACTTATGGTTATATTTTCATCTCCTTCATATTGTTATATTTATGATTCTGATTAAGGGTGCAAGTGTCACGAGCCGTGCCAACTTGTCAAGTTTTGAGCTTGAGTTATATCCAGTTAATGTTCAGCTTGATTGCACGATATGTGCCCATGCGGAGGAAAATGAAATCACGCTCGTAAGCGGATCGAACTCGGATGCGGATGACAAGGTGGAGGCGGTATGCGGTTGGTATGTCGGCAGGCTCAAACGGAGGATGGGACCTCAAACGCGGATCGCAAGGTAGAGGCAAACGCGGTATACTAGTGAAATCTTGGATGCGGTATGCGAACGGAACCTCAAACACAGACACTGGTGGAAGCGAACGCGAATTGAGCCGTTTAACGAGCTTTTTAAGCAGAACGAGCCGAGCTCGGGCTGGCCTTTTGAGCTCAACTCGAGTTCAAGCTCGAGTTGGGCTTGACTCAAGCTCGATTCGACTCGTTTGCACCCCTAATTCTGATTTATTGTATTTTATGTTATAATGCTTCTCAGTGCATCAAAAACGATGTTCAAACTTAGTTGTAACCCAATTTGAGTCATGATCAAATTCAATTTGAACTTTCTTCAAATTAAGAACAAACATTGTTGAAATCGATTGAATTAAGTTCTAACAAGTATAACACAATAGAGACCAATCACAACTATTATAATTATGTAGATTATATAACTTTGATACGACATAGGTTAATCACAACTTAGTTTCGAATAAATGATTTGAAATTGGCCCTAAAGAAGCTCTATAATAACCCAGTACATCTCATATTCTTGTGTGTAGTAATTATGTATTGATTGTCCGTAATAGAGATGGTTACATGATATATATATATATATATATAGAGAGAGAGAGAGAGAGAGAATACTAATATAGCTTTACACGTGTACGTGTGTGATTCACTGTGTATGTTATAAAACAATGGTTGTGATGCTATTTTGCTTGGAAGTGGGTGCCTAAGCTTTGATGTTAAATATGTAAATAGCATAGTATTAAGTGGTATGTATGTAAATCTCCCTATTTATTTTTTAACCATAGAGTTCTCATTTAAGCTTCGGTAGGGACAACTTTTGGCTGCTGCTTTTTCGTTGTTTTAGAAAAATTATCATACTATAAAACTGTTGTAGAAAGTAGCAAGAAAACTGTCTCAAATGAAGCCTTAGTCTCATTTATATCGTAATGACAATGTCACATTCGTTAAAATAAAAATGATTAAAAACAAAATATCATTAATCTCGAATAAAAGATGCTGGAACATAGAGCCTGTCACGATAAAGCTTTATCATAAACTAATTACGAACTCTAAGATCATCAAAGACAAACTGTGATATGAAGAGGGAAGCTCTAAAAAATGATGTGTCTCTTGAGTTTAGAGTCGTAACTCATAATTTTATGTGATAAGAACATTTTATGTACTATCCAATGTTGAGCACTCTAAATCAAATTATATTTTAGACTAATATTTAAGCCACACTTAGAGAGTAGCTCACTTAATTGTAGATTATTATATAGAAAATACACTACATATCTATGAAAGTCTCATCCCAAGTATTTTTATGTCTTGCATTGAACCCTAAGCCTAAGGGGGGTGTTTGGTATCGGATTTGTCCGTCGTTTTTATTAGGATTTAGCATAAATACAATCAAATGCAATCCACGCTACAGTAAATCCGGCAAATCCATAAATCCAAATCCAATAAATCCGTCTAAATCTTAATCCCATTCCTATTCGGATTTAACGCTCAGTCGCAAAACTTCTTCCCGGGACACAATCTGCTTCCAAACAACTTCAGAGATTTAACAGTATTTAAAATTTTTCATACGAAACAGTTTCCATGATTTATAAATACCCCCTAAGTCTTCATAATGTCTTCTAATTTAATGTTACTAAAATTCGATTGGTTCCAATTCATCCATTAATTCTGATGGACCTTTTCCATTAAATATGAAATACAAATCCATTAATCGCTCGCAGCAACACGCGCTTCTTCTCCTCCTGCTGCTAAAGCATCATCGACTTCGTGATGTCGAGGGCAGGTCTCGCCGGCCGGTGATTCGGCGTCGGTAGTTTCCCCTGCAGCGAAGAGTGCCGGTCTAACGGGATCGACTCGGGACCGCGACGAAGCTTGTACCGCGTTCGACGCTCGATTTTGGAGTCTCGATATCTTCATCCGATTCCGAGAACTTGGATCGATATCCGTATGTAGGTTTGGCGAAGAATTTTATTCGTTGGCGCTTGTACTTTGGTTGCTTGGGGCTTTTTTAGATCTGTGTTGTTGGTCGTGTATTGGGGAGTACATCTACGGATTCCGAGATGCACTTCAGATCTGGGCAATCGTCCTGCCGGGATCGCACGCGAGAATTTCTCAACGCAGCGGAGGTGTTAAAGAAGTCGTTGTCTTCTGGGCCAATTTCGCAGAGCAGCAATGCTGGGTCTAAAATTGAGGGGCCGAAGTCGGCCGTTTCCATCCAGTCGGAGTTTAACAAGAGAGTTTCAATGATTGGGATTGGGATTCACCATACTTCCCAAAAGCTTGATAGACTTACAAAATGTAAGAATGAAATTCTTTTTTTCTGTTGCTTCTTATATTTTTTATGCCTTGATAACTAATAGATTCAGTTACTAGACAGTTCTCGGCAATCTTTTGCATGAATATTCCAGTTGTGACATTTTGATAACTATATACGGTTTTTGAGTATTATAAAGAATGCTGAGGTAGTTTGAAATTTATATGAGTTCGTAGCATCCAGTGTAACCAGTATACTTCAAAATCTTCAAAGGGTTACAGTCAATTCAGAACCTTGCATTCTGCCTACTTATTATCCAGAACTGCCAGAATCTGTTTAACGAAGTAAACTGAAGATTGTAGAGAATTTCATGTTGTGAATAAAGAGACGCAGAATGACAATAACACATTTCTTTTTTTTTTTTTCAAAAATGGTTACATGATTTAAATGAACTTGAGGGAATTTTTTAAATATGTTGTGATAGTATGTTATGGCTTCTATCATTTAGTAAATCAGCTAATGGTTGTGATTTGAAGTTCTTTTTATTTGACATTATTGTGGTGAAATTTTCTTGCTTCAATTAGTAAGTAAATCAACTATGATTGTCTGATATGCCTAATATGCGCTATTATGAGCAAGTAGAGTGTTAGAATCTTGATGAGGGTCCTTCATCATCATTTTTTTATTTTGTCCCTTACCTAAACATCATATGTAACTTGTTTGTTCTTTGCATCAGTACCTTGACATCAGATAACCGAATTCATGCGCAAGCCTATAATAAGTATATGCATGTTTGTTGGAATTTTAGAGGGTTGCACATCCTTTTTATATATAAAGGCTTTTCTTTTATCTTGTAATGGTATCATGAAAGATAACTTGAGTTTTAATTTGTGAAGTTCTTGATTGAGCTACTAATTGTTGTATGTTTGATTTTGTAGTAAGTTTCTGAGAGGGAAAGGCCGTTTTCCACTTTTTTTTGGCTCTCTTTGCCTCTTTGCTTTTGTGTGCTAAGTTAGGTTGAATTTGGATGGATGGAGGGAGTGCCTATTTCACTCATCTTTCGAGGGTTGGAGTGTAGGGTGAGTAGGAGGGAGGGATTGATTGACCATTTAAAGCTGATCTATTGGGAGGTTGGTCTGCAAAAACACACACAAGTAAGTTGGGGGGATTTGCAAGTGATTATGTACATACGGCGTTGTGCCACCATATCTACATCAACTAGGCAAGTCATAGGGAGGGTTTGTGAAAGAGAGGAATATTGGTCATTTCTAGCACCTCTCTTGTGGGTTGATGTGGATGGACTGACGTTTTTTTAATATTTGTAAACTATATATTTGGAAATTTAAATTATATTGAGAGTGATTGTGTTTGAACTGAATTATTTACTTATCTACTATGCAAGATAGGGAGTTAATGTGGAAGGAAGGTAGGAATTGACCATTGCAAGTCCTTCTAGTTGGTTTCAGAGTTTTAAAAGGTATATATTTTGGAGCAAGCACTAGAGAGTGCCTTAGAGTTAAGCAAGGAAAAAATGCACCAAGGTGTTTAAGATAGGATTAGACCCATAGTCGTATGCTAATAGATTTGATGGTTGCTCGGGTGTACAGGGTTTGTCTTATGACTTGGGTGAGGAAGCTCACACGTAGTGTACTTTTTTGTTTTTGTTCTCTCCTTCACTTTCATGTTGGTCTCTTGATTGTTTTGTTGCTTTAATTTTTTATCTTTATTGTAAGCCTTTGCTTTAGGTTTTAATTTTATATAAATCATTAAAAGTTAAGGATTTTGCATTGCATATTGCTTTCGTAGATAGTAGTAAGGATTTAGTTCAAGTGAAGCGTATTAAGGATGAAGATCAAAAAATAATTTTCTTAGAAGATGATATTCAACAAAGGTGGATGAGATATTTTGCTGAATTTTTTAATGAAGATTTTGAAAATAAGATTGACTGTAATGACATTAGCACCCTAAATGAAAATAAAGATTTATGTTTTTATCGACGTATTAATAAAATCAAAGTTAGAGAGGCTTTAAAGTAAATGAAGGGTGGAAAAGCTATTGGACCTGATGATATTCTAATAGAGGTGTGGAAATGCTTAGGAGATGAAAGAATTTTTTGGCTTACTAAACTTTTTAATACTATTTTGAAGACTAAAAAGATGCCAGATGAGTGGAGAATGAGTGTGTTAGCTCATATTTTTAAGAATAAAGGTGATGCGCAAGATTGTGCGAATTATAAAGAAATTAAGTTAATGTGTCTTACTTTAAAACTATGGGAGTGAGTTAGGGAGCATGGGTTGCGGTATGCTTTTTGCTGATGATATTCTTCTTGTTGATAAGACTAGAGAGGGAGTTGAAGGTAAACTTGAATTATGGAGGTCAACTTTATAGTCTAAAGGTTTTCGCTTGAGTAGATCTAAAACGGAATATATGGAGTGTAATTTTAGTAGTAATAGACCTAGTGAGGGAATTATGACTTTGGGCGATCAAGTCATTAATAAGAATACATGTTTTAGATATCTTGGATATATTGTTCAGAGTGATGGTGAAATAGATGGGGATATTATTAGCAGAATTCAAGTTGGATGGTTGAAGTGGAGGAATGCATCGGGCTTGTTATGTGATAGAAATGTACCCCTCAAACTTAAGGGAAAATTCTATAAGATGGTGGTGAGGCCTGCAATGCTTTATGGTGCCGAATGTTGGCCATTAAAAGAGAAGCATAATACTAAGTTAAGTGTGGCAGATATGAGGATGCTCAGGTGGATGAGTGGCTTTACCCTTAGAGATTGGATACGAAATGAGCATATACGTGAAAAGGTTGGAGTAGCTCTAGTAGAAGATAAGATTAGAGAGAGTCGCCTTAGATAGTTTGGTCACATAAAACGGAGGCCTTCCGATGACCCGGTTAGGAGAGTTGAGGTATTAGATTTGACTTATGTTAAGAAATGTAGGGGTAGACCTAAAAAGACTTGGTTAGAAAATATTAGGAATGACCTTTCTTTATTAGATTTAAACGATAATTTGACTTTTAATAGGACACAATGGAGAAAAAGGATTCATGTAGCCTACCCCACGTAGTGGGATAAAGGCTTGATGTTCTTCTTGTTGTTGTTGAATTGAATTTTCTTCTCTTAATCTTAGATTTATTTTCCCTCAATAAGAGGCAGTTGTTAGCTCACTAGATTGAATGCATTGATTTATGATAGATACAACAACAGGTTGGGTGGGAGAAGTATTGAGCCTTTTTGAATGGTGATAGAGGGAAATTTATTTGTGTTGATGAAACTTGGAGTCTTCCCATTGCTATTTTTGGTGAGGTTGAATCTGTTGGTTCCACACAAGCTTATAGACAAATTGTAATTACAGTTTATCAATTGTAGAAGAGAAAGACAAGCGAATAATTGAATAAGAAATATATTGTCTTTTTAACTTTTCATTCCTTGTTCCTGCTCGTAAAGTGAACTTTGTAGTTGAAGGCTCAACGTTGAATTTAGTTGCTATCCGCCCTTCTGTCTTCAACATTTATAGGTAAAACTGAAGGAAACAAAGTTGTGTCACCCCTCAAGATTAAGCTTTATTTTTCATTTGTTCCTATGGAGTTCTAGAAGTGTTCCTATTATTTGCAAATTAAAATTATTTGAACAGTTATTATCTATATTATCTCAAGTTTATCTTTTATCCTTTATCATCCAACATTAAATTTTATCAACTTGCCTAATAGTGCATTTTCTATCCTTTGTCATGATGTCCAAACTCCAAATTTCTTGGTTTATTTAAAATATTTCACCTTCAATGGCTGCCACTTCAACTATTTTTCTGATATAATCATTTATTAATTTATTTTTATTTTAGTTTTTTCACATCTATCTTAATATTGACATTTCTACCACGCTCAACCTATCTATCAACAATTTTTTTTACTATCCAAGTTTTGGATCCATACAAAATTGTTGGCCTAATTGCAACATTATATTTAATATAGTTATCTGTTGTAATAATATTTCAAACTGTGTTTAATGTTCAATTTTATTATATCTCTGAGCATCAGATTTTCCTTTGTTTGTTCACATTTGAGTTCCATTGTTTATCATATGGCTTATCTCTAACGTTAGCCTTTTAAATCTGGTTCAGTGGCAAAGAGAACATCAGTTTTTGATGACCCTACAGTTGAGATACAAGAACTGACAGCGGTTATTAAGGAGGAAATTACTGCTCTTAACTCTGCAGTACTGGACTTGCAGCTTCTTTGTAATTCACAAAATGAAACAGGGAATATTTCCAGTGACACAACTAGTCATTCTACCAATGTTGTGGACGACTTGAAGAACCGCTTGATGAGCACTACAAAGGAATTTAAAGAAGCTCTAATAACACGGACAGAGGTGGGTATTAGAAATCCAGCTTGAGTATTACTTCTTAGGCTTCGTTTGGGACGGTTTTCTTTCTGCTTCTTAAAGCGGCTTTTTAGTAAAAAAATTAAATATTTTGTACTAAAAAACCGCTTTAAAAAATAGTATGAAAGCCGTCCCAACGAAGCCTTAATCTTTTGGCAGGCGTGTTAAATACTCCACAAAATCTTATAAAAGCTGACCAGTTAGTTTATCTTCGAGTTTGTAGAACTTGAAGGTTCATGATAATAGGCGACAGTTATTCTCTTCTTCTACTTCGAAGGAAACTACCAATCCTTTTGTTCGACAAAGGCCATTGGTTTCAAGGGCCTCATCAGACTCCGCTGCGTCTCCAGCACCATGGGCGAATGACGCGGCATCTTCTTCTCAGTTGTTTTACAGGTACCATAGGGCATCATCTCCAACGAAAAATCCCATTTTTCACTCCAAAATGCAGTGAAACTAAAAAAATGTCGTGATTCATCTCCAATCGAACTCCATTTTGCGCGGTAACTATCTTTCTCCTCTTTCGCGCATTTCTTCCGCAAATCCGGTAGAGACATAAAAATAGTATAGGTGAACAGTGAAACGCCAATATTAGCTTCGCACAGTTCACCCGCAACCAAATAGCGGAAGTTTTGCTGTTCAGCTGGAGCTCGCGAGCGATGCCATTCATGCGTTTGGAGTTCGGTTGGAGAATGCCTTATGATCAGCTTTCTGAACGCACTTGATATCTAACACTGTTTTAATTCTCTTTAATAGAAATTCTCCACTATGTGTGGTTGACTGCATGAATCCTTTTTTTTGAACACCGAGAGCCAAAAAAAAAAAAAGAACAAACAATATAGAAGAATATCAATGCGCAAAAGTACAGAAGAATTTTATACACTTTTACCCAATTGATTATTACGCCTCATTACCGTTGTAGAGAAAATGCAACCTTATATTCTCTTGTACAACATAATAGGGCTCCCTCATCTCTTTACAAAGAAAAAAAAAATTCATGGTGATCTTATTGTGAAAGTTGACCTGCTATGAAGATTGTCGAACACATTTTCTTTGTAGGAAGAAAAATTAGGTTACAAGACTTGGACTTCGTTTGGGACAGCTTTTTTGCTGCTTCTTAAAGAAAATTTTTAGTAAAAAAAATTAATTTTTGCATTAAAAAACTGTTTTAAGAAATAATAAGAAAACCGTCCCAAACGAAGTCTTAATCGCTTGCATAGAATGCAGAGTATGGTTTGTTTTATGCAAATGATAACATAGAAGTTCAAATTGTCTTCTTTTTTTGGGGTGAATTTTTAGGAAGAAGAAGAATGGGGATCCATCATCATCATCATCATCATCATCATCATCAACTCAGCCTTTGCTATATGCACTGCAGCAGCAGCAGCAGCAGGTTCCAGTACAAGAAAACTACATGAACAGCAGAACTGAGGCCCTCCAAAATGTTGAATCTACCATCCATGAGTTGAGCAACATCTTCACTCAATTAGCCACCATGGTTTCTCAGCAGGGAGAGCTAGCTATCAGGTTCTTACCCGATTTTTTCCTTTCATGAGAATAATTTGAATAACAAGCACAGATCTTTATAAAAAATTTTATGTGCATTTTTTTTTTTCAGGATTGATGAGAATATGGATGACACATTCGCAAACGTTGAAGGTGCGCAGGGTCAATTACTGAAGTACCTCAGTAGCATTTCCTCCAACAGGTGGCTAATGCTGAAAATATTCTTTGTACTAATAGCTTTTCTCATGATCTTTGTATTCTTTGTTGCATGATTCAGTGTCATGGCTAATGATTCCCTATTTTGGCCTTTTTGTGTTATTTCAGAGTCTATGTGATTGTTTCTCCCTTCTTGGAATGATTGCTATTATATTTCTTCGTGTTAGTGCTATCAATTCAATTGAGGTTTCGTTTGGGATGGCTTTCTTACTGCTTCTTAAAACATTTTTTTAGTGCAAAACTTTAATTGTTTTAAGCGGCAACAAGAAAGCTGCCCCAATCGAAACTTTTGACTATTTAAATAAGCTCCATCTTTACATTTGACTATTTAAATAGGGGGGTGATTTTTAGGCTTGATATTAATATTGTTAATAGAACCCTTAACATTCTAAAACCATGTGACATTAAATGGTTTCATAACAACAAAATCAATATCAAGCCTTTATCTCATTATAATATGAGGTCAGTTATATGAATCATTTTTTTTTATTGTGTCAATTTCTCATTTAAATATGATAAAAAATATAATTTCTATTTTTTCTGTGATCAAGTCTTTTTAATTCTTCTTTATCTTTTCTTAAAATAGGCCAAAATCTAATATATCTTCTCGGAATTGAGTCATCAGAAGGCATATGTGAACTCCAATCAACCTATTTAGCTAATTAGAAGGTTTTTCTAGCAAATTTAAAATTTCATTTGGAATAATTTTTTATTGCTTTATAAATCAACTTTTTAGTAAATTTTTTTTTAACATAATATTTTAATATTAAAAAATTATTTTAAAAAATAATAAAAAAATTGTCCCCAATAAAACTTAATTCATAAGGATGATAAAAATAATAATTTATTTTAAATTTTACTATTAATTACATTTTATCCTCACCATCACCATTTTATAAAACAATCATAAAGAACAAGCGAAGTTTTGAGCGAGTACAGAGATGGCGACCGCCGTTCGAATTGCGGTCCTACGCCACATCCGCATACCGGTGCAAGCTCTTGAGGGATTCCGGCCGGCCTCGGCGTCATGGAATCTCTTCCGTGGCCAGACCCGATCCCTTTCCTCCCATGGCGACGAGCATCTCGAACGGGAGGAGGTCGTTGAGCGCGTCCTCGCCGTTGTCAAGAGCTTCCCCAAGCTCGATCCCTCGAAGGTCCTCCTTCCAAACCCTGACTAATCCTGATCTAATGTCTTCCCATTTGATCACTGTGTCATCACGGTAGGCGGTTGCAGGTAGCCGCAGATTCTCACTTTCAGAAGGATCTGGGTCTGGATAGCCTCGACGGCGTCGAGATAGTGATGGCGCTTGAGGAGGAGTTCAAACTTGAGATTCCCGACAAGGAGGCCGATAAGATTGACTCCTGCAGTGTCGCGATTGAGTACATCTTTAACCATCCCATGTCTGGCTAATTGTTAGGTTTTTTGCTGGAAGTGTAACGAAGTAGAACATGCTTGTGTTATTACTGATTCCATGGTTTAACTGCAGCCTCACAAGGGTTTGCTGATTTTAAGAATTTGGTTCTCTCGTGATTTGCAATTCTGGAGGGAATCTTGAATAATGACATTCTGTGTCGAGCTAAAAAATTTGCGTTTAAAGATGTTGATTTGTTGAAATCTTTTTTTTTTTTGGAATGTTAGGGGCTTCGAACGTGAGCCTCGCGGGAGGAATTCCTTCGCGTCAACCAACGGGGCTGCATGCGCGAGCTCATTTGTTGAAATCTTTTTGAGAACGCGCATTTTGTTTGTTTCAGTGCATAATGCTGACATTATGTTTTGTTGTGCCTTTCTTTTTCTGCATCCATGTTGAACTTTTTTGTTTTGATTATTTTAGGTGCTTAGACAGTTGACTATAAATCAGGAGAAAAGTTATGACCATTTTTTTATGAACCAAAAGGGTGTGCTTTGAAGTGGATCCTCCATACTCTGCCTTCGTGGCTCGTGCTTCCTGCAACCTCATGCTTGTATTTATGTGCTGCTACACTTAAGTATATATTCTTCTTCTTCTTTTAATCTGCATATATCAATTTTCACCGTGCCCTAGTTGAATTTCTGATCTTATACACAGTTCAAGTGGCTCATATCATCTCACACTCATGAGAATTGTAATATTTTCTTGTGCTGACCTACTTTTTCATACATTATTGTCCCATCTATTAGTTAGGCTTACCTCACGAATTTTCTTTATGTTTCTCTTTTATCTTTGTTGAACTAATCCATACTTAGGTGCAAGAGGATGCAGTTGTCTCCTTTACCCTTATGCTTTTTGTGAAGATTTTTGCTGAACACTTTTCTTTTGCATATGCTCTTCAAATGCCGCTATCATTCATTGTCATTATCAGCTCTTACCCAACTTTTTGGGTTTGGCTTATGAGTTGTTCTTCTTTATTCATTCTTCTCGAGTGCCATTGTGAACAGTACTTTATTAAAGTTTCTTTGTTTTTCTTGCCTAACATCTTTTTTCTCTCTCTTATTTCTTTCTCATTAATTTTACTTACCTGGCTTATTTGCGCACCATTCGCCTTCTATTGTTCATGATCTAACCACCTAACACAACCTTATCTACTATAGTTGATCCTCCTGCCATCTCTTTAATTAATAATATATCACTCTATTATTCCTAATGTTACTATATAGATGTCAACATTCTCATTATTTTGACTTTTTTATTGTATTACACTCAAATCCTTATAACAGTAAAGATATTTTTATAGAGAGTCTAATTGTTTTTCTAAAAACTTATCTTTCCATGATATTTTATAATCAAATAGTATAAATAATAAATTCTTCATTTTATCTATCAGACTTTAACTCTTAAGTTATTTTCTTATCTATTGCCTAATTCTTTAATATAATAGATAAAAGAGATTTACACCCATGACATTGATGTATTTATTTATTAATTTCATCACAGGAAAGATATTTTTTGTTATTTTAATTTTTAGTCAACATTGCCTTTGCCATTTTTCATTCTTATCTCATACATTCACACCTTAAGTATAACAGTGAAAATATAAGATCCCTGATACCCGATTATATGTGTATTCTATGTTATTTTTTTGTGTTTAGTGCCATAAAAACTGGATAGAGCAAGCAAATGCTTCAATGTTCGCATTGCCTCAAATATTTAAAAAACTCACTACATTGATTTGACTATGTCGGATCTATATTATTATTTCTAGGATAAGAACAAAATTCCGAACAGATAGTTTTATGAATAACTAAAAATTTTGGCGAACTATCTTCTTGGAAAAGAACTAGTTAAAAAATTTATTGCGGATTCTGTTATTGTAGATCACCTCTTATTCAAAATTTGAATCATATTTTGGTTGAAATTTCCACATCCACAAACTCCTGTAATAAGAAGAAAAAAAAAGGAGCAGGGGGTCGAGAGCTATAGCTGGTTGTGCTAAGAAATAGAAAAAGAGAAGATTTGTGTGATATGGTTTCCAAGGACCATCTTGGAAGAGATTTTTTTGTATGACTTAGGTCCATTTATTTATTTATCTTTATTTGTGATTCTTTTATTTCTATAAAATATTATGAGACTTTTATTTTTGTTTGGCTTCAGAAATATGAGCATTTTTTGTTGTGAGATTGTGCATCTGAATTTGAGGAAGATAATTTGTTAGGTTCTATTTAATATTTATTAGTACAATTGTACGCCTTGTTGCTTTATAATAGTGAATCAGTTCATCTCTTCTCTTGTGAATGCAGTCAAATTTTAGGTTGGACCACATAAATTTTGCTTCCCTCTTTAGCTTTATCTATTTATTATTATCTTGTATGTTCATTGAACAAGTTCATTATAATTTCCTTTGCATAAACAAGCATGTTTTTCCTAACAATAGATATCAAGGCTAAATGAGTGATATATGAGATTGAGAAGTTGTGATTTGGAGAATCAAGATGCAATATATTCTAATTCAACAGGGTTTGTTAAACTGAAGGCATTTATTGGTATTCTAATATGCTTGAGATGGTGTGAATAAGATAAGGAGAAGATTGATATAAAAGATCTCTCAATGTTGTAATTATGTTTGGCAAATGAGATATTGACAAAGGTCTTGGGATCTTGGAGGATACAACCTTGGAGGGGTTGCAACTTAAGTTGCGACTTTCATACTTGATTAAAAACCTCCCCAATAAATTTTATCAGAAATTAATGTTATATTTTTTCACATAAAAAGTTGGTATAAATCTCATCTATTGTACAAAGCAAAAATATTATTATTAGTCAATGAAACAAGTATAATGCCTAGCAATTGTAGAAAATTAATAGTTAAAAAAGAAAAAGAAAAAACTAAATTACACTTTCAAATATAACTGGAAAGTAATGAAGCAAGAGTCCAAACGTAAGAGGAGAATGATGAGTCCTCATTTAGAGTGTTTTGCTTGAAGTTTGGTAAATCTTAATGAGTGATAATATAATTTCTTTTCTATTTTTGTCCCTCCAGACAGAAAATTTGAAATATTTTGTCAACTAGATTTTCTTATATAGAAATACTCGTCAAAGTCATAAGACAACAAATCTGGATCATCAATTTCCCAATCAACATGATGATCATGAGAAGCTAATATATCTGATGGATTTGGGTTGATGATCTTATTAGCTGATGAGGTGTCAATAAACCCAACCCTTTATGTCAAAACTAGATTAAAAGTAATTAGAACTACAACCGTTATGTTTGAAGGCCAGTTTTTATAATTTAATTGCTCCCTTATGCCATTATTGCAAAAGGATTATTAAAAGATGATTTCCACAACTCTAGGTAGGCCTCGAAGCATCTTGAAATCAAATATTTTACAAAACAAATAATATAAGGGAATGCCTCCAAATTTGTCCTTTTGCCAGTAAACACAATTAGTGGAACCGACTCAAATTTTCGTCTCCAAATGGATAATAACATCCATTTCTATTAGGATCATAACCATTGATGGCCTTGAGAGATTAGCAATTACAATCTCTACTTGAAGCAATTTCAAAAATGGATCAAGAGAAAATAAAGTTGATTGATTGAAATAGTGAATCTGAAAAATCAAACTAGAGTAAGAAGTGGTTCCTCAGAAAATTCAAAGAATGGAGGCCACTTAAGCACGCTTGATAAGTGCTAATGCATAAATAAATAAAAAATTGTAATGATAGTAAATATCATTAATGCTCTCATGGGACTCTTGATCCCATTGATAATAATGGCCATTGATCCAGCAAGCAAAATTGGGCTCACTTCCTTATTAAGATAGGCGAGGCGGAAGAGAGGTTTTTTTTTCTCTTTTTTTTTGTTGTTTTGAGTGGAAATCAGCTTTTGATTTCCCTGGTACTCTTTCTTGCGAATCATCTCTCTCAGGCAAAGTAGGCCCTACGTAAATTAAACTGTGGCTTAAAGCCCCAAAAGACGATTTTATACTAAGGGAGCTTTTTTTTTTTTAATGGTTGATGTTGGTAGATATCTATTGCTCCAGCAGTTTTGTTAATGTTTCCAATAGCTTGATAATGAACTCCATCCTTATCAATTTCTATTGATTGCTCAATTAGTAGTGGTTGAGTGAGCTATTCTAACAGTACTGCGATTTGTCATGACTCTATCAAGTGCCTCTTGTACTAGTTCTGATTCCACATCAAGTACACTAGTGACTTTATCTAATAGCAATATTCTTGGGTCCTTCAAAATAGCTGTTGCAGAAAATCCTTTGCTCCTTTTCTCCTGACAATTGAGTGCCATGCTCACCAACCATAGTATTGAGTCCCATCTTGTGGGTCATAAGACCTTTCAATCATGCTGATTATCATTGATTTTCCCCTTCCACTCTCTCCGACCAAGGCTACAGTTGTGTCGCCATGAATGAAAATTGAAAATCCTGTTAAAATGCTATCTTTGGGTCTGGATGGATAACTGAAGTAAACATCTTTAAGTTCTATGTCCCCATGGATAACATCGGAAATTTGTTTTTTTTGCTATGTCTGAAGTATTAATATTTGGTTTTCTATTGATGATCTGAAAAATCCTATGTGCAGCAACTTGGCCCTTAGCAATGATGTCATGCATCGAGTTGCCTCTTCAACAGAATTTTGTGTAATATGTATGCCTTGGTATAATCAATATATAGGGGTCAACAATAAGAACATGGCTAGAGTTAAGAAGTTTAATAGGTAATTCTCCAATCAGTTATAAATTAGGCCAACTTGAGAACAATTTCAAGACCAGGATGGTCCTAGGAGAACTTGCTTACAATATTGAAAGAGAAAGGAAATATTAACTATGAGATCTTCTCATCAAAGCAAAAATGATGGTAGAATTACTTTGAATAGTGGGGGCATCTTGTGATGAATTAGAAATAAACTTTGCTGAAGATTCATAAAAAATCAAATGGAGGAAGTAGG